GGAAGAAATTCCCTTCCTGGAGCAACCGGGGCTAACAGGCCCAGGGCAGACTCCAGCCTCCATGGGCAGGGCAGCGTAGGAGTGCAAGCTGGGGAGATAAATGGCAGATAAACCACGGATACAGTCTGAGGGAGTCCAGAGGTCACAGGTAATAAACTGGTAGGTTGGTCTCCATAATCAAATACCTTTGATTTACATAGAGAATACTTTTACAGGGTTTATGATTGCCGGGGAACTCAAAAACTGAGTGCATTGAAAGTAAAAGCTGAGGTAACATAATTAAAGAAATCAAACCTGCTTTTCAGCTTTGCATTGCTTTAATTGCTTCAATTAACAGAGTATCAAATTACCTCCACTTTTTCTGTAAAGCTTCCTGACTTGGCTTAGGTCTTCAGCACGTGTGTATGTGTGTGTGAGAGACAACCTATGGACCATTTTCTTCTCATCCTTTTTCCACCATAGGCACTTTTCATTGCTTTTGTTGTGAGCCCCACATACTGGGATATATATACTTTGTCTTCTGCTCATCCTACTAGTTACTGTTCTGCTGAATAGAAAAAAAAAAAAAAATCAGCAGAAGAATAAAACCTTAAAATAGGGAAAAATTCTCAAGCTTGCACACATCTCCACACAAAAACAAGATCATTTAAAAAAAATCACATAAGTTTGTTTCTAAATAGCCCTAATAAATTACTTCACATATTCTAAAACTGTCCAAAAAGTGACCTCTTCTTAGTTGTGAATAATATTTATTATTTCTGGTGTGAAATAATAGAAAATTCTAAATGGAAAAAAATATATTTTAAAGAAAATTTACACCCCTGAATGTATTTGTTGACATTTGTTATAAGGAACTAAACAAAATATATACAATCTGTTTTGCAAATACGAACACATTCTCTGTTGCATGTAACATTTCATTCGATATTTTTTTGAAAAGGATCTGGAAAAATCATAGTATTTCCTTCATTTGTTTCCAATGCAAAAGAGTTCCTCTTTTCTCTCCTTCTTTCCATTGTAGGCAGAGCCTCACTCCCCAGAGGATGTAAAAACAAAGATATCATCATGAATATGTATAAATTCCACCTCAGGACATGTTCCACTTCCAGAAAAAGAGTTATAATGAGAAGCGTTTCTTCAAATAAAAGTGCATGTCACTTCATTTTAGAGGTCCTCAGAGTTTTGAACAGCTGTATGAACTGGGGTAGTGCTGAGAAAAGCGTAATGAAAGCCCTTTCTGTTGGGCTTGTGTGAAGGGGACCTGTAAGTATCTGTGGATGTGAATGAAGAAACAGTCACCAGAAAAAAAGTGAGTTGAAGAGAGGAAACGTGCTGAGAAGGGCGTGACAAGCTCCCGGGTACTGCCGTGCCCTGGACTTGGGTGCTCCTCCTGAATCTGCAAGAAGTGAGAAACCTGCGACACCCAGTACAAGGCCACCAGCACATGCTGGCTATATGGCTCGGACCCCCTCCTTGAAGGTATTAGCAAAAGGTATTCTGCAAATTTTTGTTGGGATCTGTCTCCTACGACTCAGTCCCTACCAGAGACAACAAAAGGGCAGTGCATATAGCACTAACATAATTCTTTCACAGTGTCCCCATAAACTCCTCCACCAGGGTCCACGTCCCTCTGCTGACACCAGGAAGGAGCCCCGTGATCACATAGGGAAGTTATGGCAATACTAACGACAAAAGGAGTGTAGAGGAGCTCTAGTAATACGGATCTTTTCCTGCTGAAAAACAGAGAAAAAGGTAGGGAGGAGAACTTAAACATAAAGCCAATCTCTTAATTTCAACACCAAATTTATAGCCTGACACAAAACTTTCACAGGCAGAGATCCAATGCTGAACTCAAGCAGAAGTATAGGCACTTATTGACACTTAAAAATATTCCACTGTGTATGAGCATATGACAAGAGAGAGACCCAGATCTAGAGGACTTACAGTATAACCACACAAGACAGAGAAATACTGGAAGGGAAACCATACCAGGCAAAGAAAGATTTGCTCAGGATCGCATACATGGCAGGTCCTTTGCAGAACAAGTACACTGACTCCAGCTCTGGGACCATACCCAGTAAAATACACTTCCATGTCCCTGTAGCTTTATGACTCATCAATATTTTGTCTTCATTTCTACATTATCTTCATCTGACTTTATTTTAAAATAAAAATAAAATAAAAAATATTTAAAAAAAAAGTAGGAATGTATTTCTGATTATTTTCTTGTGAAGTAGTCCTGGACCCTTGAGGCTGGAGCCACCACTAGTTATGGACTATAACACAACATTTCCAGGCATGGAGTGCTCCTCAGATGTGTCTGAATAAAAGCTAAAATATTGTCTTTGTGTGGGTCATATAAATTATAATTCCTGTGTCTTCATAGGAGAAAAGTAATAGTCAAGAAAAGCATTTATGCACAGGACTTCTCTTCATAATGCATGTGTATTAATGGAAATGTTGGTTACTGCTTTTAGGTGCATTTTCCCCAAAAGACATTTGTTTGGAAAGCTTCTGTAATGACTTTCTTGAAGAGCACGGCTGAGAACATGCATTATTCATAATTCATGAAGTGCAGTTGAAATCTTATTTATTTCCTTCTTTTAATTTCATTTACTTTTGTGTATTGGAGCTTAAATTACAGTTTTCCTGCATAGTGAAAGCATAATGCATATGAAAATTTAATCAAGAAGATGGCAGCAGCCTAAAACTATTGTTCTGGGTATAACAACAAACAGTCAAAGTATAAAAATAAAGAGATATGGTAGAAGTTATAACACCCCTTGAAAATGCACCACAGTGGTAGGTTTTTGGGGAGTAAAAGTTGTTCATGGCTCAGTTCAGCTGGGTGCTAAGCTGCCCTGGCAAGGGGTTGCTTATCAATGCTCAGATAAAAACATGGTCTCAGTCTCTCTATCCTTAAAGATGTCCAGAGCTTATACTGGTGAGGACTTGCCCCTTCTTTCTCTCACATAAATGCCAAAAGTTCTGGGTTTTGTGTGCAGGGAGATGAAAATGGGGAGGCTCAAAGACCAGCTGGCTGATAGCTGCCTTCCCTTCCCAGGTAGGTACTACCTGTTTCCAGGAAGAGATTTGTTAGTCCAAAGGGCAGAGTTAGAATTAATCTTCAAAAATGTGGCTTCTGATAGTAGTTAAAGGACACAGTTCTTTGGGACAGAAGTAATTTTGGGGACAGAAGTAATTTTACCTGGTATTTATAATGAGGTCGGATGTGACTGTATCTAGTCTTTCTGTGTCCAGATCCTGCTTTTGCATGGGCTTGAGTTATACTAAGAGTGATCCAGACTCAGTTTATGAATGTTGACCTGTTCATCTGAGGTGTTTCAGTTTCCTAACCGAGATAAGAAGCTTGAAAACTGATATCCCAGAGGGAAATCAGCTGTAAAGTTGTAAACTGCAGACTACGCTAAAAGAAAGCCACCTACGGAGAAACAGTATCAGCACTGAACGTATTAACTATTATCACTTTACTGGAAACTCCACAACAGTGTTTGCAAAGAGAGTGTGGGGAATTTAATGAACTCATTCATTCATGTCAAATCTTTGTAGCTTATGGTTAAAAAAAAAAAAAAAATCAAATTGTGTGTCCCTAAATACCCCTGACGGCTGACTATGATTTGGTCAAAACACCTCTTTGGAGTGCAACTTCCTTATCCTTTGAAAATGATCAGTTTTAAAACATCAAGCCTCCTCAAATTTATTTCCACTGCCTTTTTAAAAGAAAAGCTTAACTGAATTCATTAGCTAAATTAGTTTCTGATTTTATTCCTGTATGCTGACATAAATCAAAGCATACAAAGAAATTAAAATGACAGCATTAAACATTGATATTCTTAAATATTGATGCTCTGGCTGAATAGGATGTATGTTCAGCGCTTTATTACTTATTGGACTCTTCAATAGGTGAGCAAAGCATTTATGAGAGACTGAACTCACTCAATAAGCTGCTTGGGACTTCTGATATTTAGTGGAAAACACACACAGAATGACTGATTTGTTCTTTCATATGAGCTTTAACTATTTGGAGGGAGACAACTGGATCAGGTTTTATGGCAGAACATTCACTGTCAGTGGATTTGCAAAGGAACATAAAGGAGTCTGTCATCTATGTCTCCTAGTGTGAATGGAGATATGACCAAATTTCATCTCACAGGGAAAAAACAAACAACAACAACAAGATTTGGAGGAAATACTGTCTGTGGTTACATGGATGTAGCCTCCCCAGTCATTAGGGCAGCTGATGAGCCCAGGTCTTGTAGCTTCAGGAGTTTAGCCAGTCCAGCCAAGCGTAGCAGGAATCACATTGGATTCGGGTGAGAGACTGGCATAAACCAGATGTGTCCCTCCAGCTTGCCCATGCAGAGACCTCCTATGAGGTAACATCGTAGGCTAAGCCAATGCTGTAAAAATGGGCTTGTACTGAGATGTGTAATAAGTTTTTGAATATTCTGTCCCTTGAATGACTTTCTGTTTTAGAAATAAAACCATCACTGATTGCTCACTGTAGAGATAAGGGAGGTAGGTACCTCTGAGCATACAGGTGCTTGAAAATGTATGTATACAGCTTTGCTGTCTTCACCTGGAAGTAAGTAGAAAGTTCAGTGTGATTCTATTCCCTGTAATACTAGAAATTGCCCCCAGAAATGCATGACCAAATGAGACATACATGGACATGCCGAGCTTTGAGACACGGCACTTAGCAGTAAAGCGATCAAATTGCCAGGACATCAGTCTGCACAGGCAGCATAACATCTCTATCCCCCTGATTAGTGTCTTTTACTGCAAGAAGTACAATATTTGCTGCCTAATGCATTCCTCTGCTTTTATTATGCTTGCCAACATTGATAGTGACTCACAGTAAAACAAAGGTAACACTTGACATCCTTCACAAACTCCCACTCATCAATTACAGACCATAAAGCTTCAATGTTTCCATGTGGAAATCAGTGATTTTCAGTGCTGGCTTACGAGGCTAATGCACATCCTTCAGCACATAATCGGCTCAATGCTAATAAGTTAGAAGGGCTCATGCATGGCCAGTCATGCTCAGGCAGCAGCTTATTCAAGAAAGCTTCTATTTTGGGAACAGCTGAAACATATAAAGACTTCACAGGTTACCTCCCAAATGAGTCTCATCACTGCAAATACCCGTGGATGGCGCCTGTGAAGTAGGGCAGTGAGAAGACAGTAACAAAACTGACTGTGGTGATTATGGAAATTTCTGTCTGCATAACTCTTGTGTAGAGGCCGAGGTGGTGGTGCTGCTTGGCCACGCTGTGCCTGGGTGTATGTTGGGTTGGCTGCACACCATCAGGATGGGATACGTGTCCCCTGAAGAAGTCTGGCTGTATTCAAGAGCTCTCACAGAGCATCTCAGAGCCAACCCAATGGACATGGGGCTGACGAAGATGCCTTGCTTTGACTGTCACAGAGTGAGACAGGTCCTCTGTGTTTACAAGGTGCTTTTCTCTGCAGCAGCTGGGAGCTGGGTGGAGGAAGGTTTCTGTGCCCATGGCGTGGGTGTGTGTAGACATTTCTCATGCCCCTGAGCAGTGGTCTGTGACATGCCGTGCCTTTGCTGGCAGAGGGGCTGGGGTTAGAAGTCAGCAGCTGTCTGTGTGAGGTCTCAGATGAGGTGTGCGTCCTCTCAGGAGGAGTTACGAATGCTCACCTTTGTGCTCTCTCATTTGCTGGCTGTGCCTGAAATGAAATGCAAGTTTAAACCACCATCCACTGCCAAAATCTGGCTGTATCACTGCCAGGCATTTGGGTTTTGCCTTTAGCCCACCTGCAGAGCTGTAGGACTTTACCCAACACATTGCATAGGCCAGCTTTGTGCCCCTTGACAGCCAGTACCATAGTAAAGCCTTAAAATCCATCTGCGTTTCTGTGCCTGTCCCCTGAGATTCTCTTGTGCCTTCTGTCTTCCCTGGAGGCTGCTTGGAGGAGTGCTTGGCACAGCCCTGATGGAGTAGTGTAAGCTGGCAAGGCACAGATTTCCCAGAGAAATCATGCTTGGGGTGTGTGCCTGGCAAAAGAGGTGTTGATCCCACAAGTGCGTGCGAGCCGGAATGTGGCTGTTTTCCAGAACACCTCCTCAAAGCCGACATCTGGCCGGCAGGGCTCCAGGATGCCACCCAGGGAAACCAGCTGGAGCCAGGTGTGAAGACCTGGAGGAGCAGCAGAGGGTCTGTTCTCTGAGCTGAAACTCATGCAGAGTTGTGTTCTCTGAGCTGAAACTGGTCTTCATCCTTGCAGAAGTAAGATCTCTGAAGTATCTCACGGGTTGCCTCTCTGGGATTGCCTCCCTGAACAGGATTCCTCAACAATGCTGTTCAATGCACCTGCCGCTGCAGCATAGACAGGTGTTTCTTGAGCAAGACAAAAGCCTGCACCATTTTATGATGCCTCTCACTCCAAACTCAGGAAGCTGCTGTCACCAGAAACACATCTTGTTCCTCGGGATTTCTCTCTTCATGCAGCCCTCCAGCTCCTGAGGTGTTTCAATAAACACTGAGCCTCTGGCCGTGATTTCTAAGGAAAGCAGGGTGTGTAGCCATGAATAATGGAGCTGCTCGGGTTCCCCATTTCATTTATGATTTTAATCCTGCTGCCCATTTTCCTTCCATTGAATGAGAGAGTTTCTCTTTTCATTGCAAGTGAGGAAATAAAATCTTCCATCCTGTATTTTACTCCAGATAAAGATCAATCTTCTGACTTTTCTCCTGCCTAAGACTACTGTGGAGCACCAGCCAGGATTTCTGTCTTCCCTTGCCTTCTTTGGGTGAACTCAGGTCCTTTGCTCTTGGCCCTGACTTTCATCAGTGCTCTTCCCAGCTTTCCAGCTCCTCCACAGGCTGCTGCACTTGTTCTACTTTAACCTACTTGTCCAGAAATCCATAATGCCTAGCTAAACTTCTAAAAAGATACTTAAAGCCTTTTTAAGTCCTTATAGTATTTTTTCATTTCATATATCCTTCACTCGGCAGTGGAAAAATCCAAAGTATAAAGCCATGCTTTACAGAAGAGCTATGATTAATTGATGTTCTAAAGATGCTTTGAATGAATCTATGCAAAAGTCACCTGGTTCAAACCTCTCTATAAAACTGTATTAACTTGGGGTGAAACTCTGTTCAGTTGTGAGTTATAAGGCGGGTTTATGGGTTGTTGTTTTTGTTGTTGTTGTTGTTGTTATTGTTTGTTTGGTTTTGGGGACCTGAAAAAACTCAGTACTTTTACATGGCTTTGACACAAGACCTTGAAAGTCAGTAGGTGCAGAGAAGTTGCAGTTTGAGGTTTTGGAGTGGTAAGAAAGCCGACAGAGCTGAGAGCAGCTGGCAAGTAAAGTCCCGGAGGTGTGAAGTATGCAAACCCAGACAAGTCTGTGCTGCACCTGTGAGCTGGGTGCTCTTGCACACTGCTGGTCTTGTCACTGCTGGCTGAGAGGGAGGAGAGGGAGGTGATGGCTCCAGTCCTTGCTGCAGTGCAGGCATGCTGCCAGGAGAATATCACATCCCTGGGCTACACCAGCACTCTCCACCTCTAAGCTCTCAGATGGCATCCCAGAGGCCAAATAGTCCAGGGACCCCCAGCATCCTGGTTTTGGAGCTGCATGGGAACAGAAAATGTGTGACAGCAAGGGTGAAGTTCTGGGACGGCTGGGGTCTGCTGTCCCATCAGTGTGCTCCCATCCAGCTGCAGTGTCCCAAAACAAAGCACAGCAGGGCTACTATCATCTCTCCTCCCTGTCTGCCTTTTCCTAACACTGACACATGCCCCGGCACACCTGCTGGTGCTGGAGGGCTGTGTGAAGAGGACGGGGTGGTGTGATCTGGGGGCAGCACTGTCTTGTTTCCACATGTGCCATGGGACACAGAGCCCTGCTCTGGAGGCAGCTGAGATGCAGCTGGCTTGCGATGCTCAGCACGTCAGAGCTGAGCACAGTGAGTGTGATGTTCATCTTCAGGTGGGGCCTCATCCTGGCTCCTGTCTCACCAGTGCAACAAAGGTGCTTGGGAAGGCTTTGGGCAGGAAGAGGATCTGTGACACCTTCCAGGATGAGCAACAGGGCTGCAATTTCTTGCTGTAAGGTGAAAAATGGCATCAAAAGCCTAGTAGATCTGGGCTGTCTGCTCTTCCCTTTCCCCTTTGCCTTCATCATTCCTGGTGGCAAGCCCTGACATCTTGCAGCAAGCCACAGGGTTGTCCCCTTCTTTCTTTGCTCACAGTGCGTGACACAACCAGACTGGTCCTGGCTGCACTTTTTAGTTGCTGCTTTAGCACATGCCCAAGCAGTAAGAGAAAGATACTGATCCTGTGTAGACAGTGGCTGGGATGCATTTTGAAATTATGATTTCCCCTTACATAAGCTAACATAAATTCCTGTAACATAATATAAGGCAACACAACATATAATGTAATAACAAAATAGGACACAAATAACATAGTATAGCAACCATTTATATGCACCTATGATATATAACAATGTCTCCTTGCCCTGTGCTGTTTTGGGCACAGAGACTTAAGGGGCAGAGAGGCTTTTTTGCACTAATACCAGCTGGGTACTTGCAGTTCTTGTTGACCCCCACCATCAAGTCCCTCAAAACCACAGTGTGCTGTGCACTGAGATGTTATCTGTGGCACAATGGTTCCTTCCTCAAGGTACAAGGGAAAGAAGTTTTATTCATGAGTGGTTTGCTGTTCTTTTTACCCCTTGGATTGCTACTACTCAGATTCAGCCAGACCTACTGGTGTTTCTGCAACTTCATGGGCAAGGGGGGAAAATTACTTTGTGTGAGCATACACATGAAGATCAGCTGTGTTTAATTTCAGTGTGGAACCTTGTCTGCCACTGTCATTTCTTTTATCAGAAAGTACTGTAGGTAAAATGAACAATAGGAACAAATACAAAGATGCTGGATGATGGAAGAGGTCAACTTCAAGCACCTTAAGGTGGCCCACCATGCCAAAAAAGTTGTCCATGTGGCAGCATAGCCAGCTCCCCAGCTGTGTGCCATGAGTACAACAGCACCACCTCTTGCTCTTCAACTGCTGCAGCTTCCTCACCAACAGCCTGCTCAAGCAAAGCAGAGGGATGCTGAAATCCTGAACTCCTATGAGGAACCAACATCTGCTCCAGCCTAACATTAAAGCACATATCTGAACCAAGAGGAGCCCGTGGTCACTTATGTTCAAGTTGAAGGAAAGACGTTTTACCTGGAAATCCACCACCCACCACTACACAGGTGAGAAGGAAGTATGAAGAGAAACACAAAATGTGAAAAAAAGTGAATGAAAATGTAAAGTAGAAATAAATACAGGAGGAAATAAAAAGGAAAATTGAAAGAGAATAAAAAGTTTCACGATAAAGAAAATGCCTATCTTTATTTTATCTCTGCTCATGCCAGTCCAAGTGTGGGAGTAGTTCTCAGAAGATGATCTCCTGCATTTAAGTGGGCTGTAAAATGTAACAGTAGAAAAAAAGCAGCACTAACCTCTGTTTGCAAGGGCAGGTGTGGAACTTCAGTCCTGAAGCTGGGATGCCTCTCCATCTATTGGCTTGTCCAGGTGAGCTGTGTCTGCAGGTGGAGTAAGCAAAAGGGATGACAATTTTCCTGTTCATGAAATCTGAGTACAAACATCACCTCTTTTTCATTCTGGGAGAGTTCAAGGCCCCCTGATGTAGTGCTTCTGCTATGCAGTATTGAGATGTTTATCTGTTATGGTTTCAGGACACATGCAAACGATAAGCTCTGCTCCAAATTTCAGGCCTGCACAAGACTGGAAGCGGTATGTGGCCCCCAAATCCTCACTGTAGGGCACAGGAGTTTTGGCTTCACCTTTGTTCATCACTAAATAGCAACCTGAGAGGAAGCTGAGCTGGGCTGGGCTGGATTCCTCAAAGGTGAGTGACTTTCATGTTTTACATAATATGCATTTACAAAAAAAAGCGCCCTTGGGGTTGGATCAGTGCCACCTTCTGTGAAAAGCCCTTGGAAAACTTGCTTTGGCTCATCAGGGAAGACCATATTGGATACTGTCAGCACATTAAACTCCTCCTGATGCGGAGGCAAGAGGGAGAACACTCTTGGCAAAGCTGTTGCTTGTTTCAGCTAAGGAACGTAGTAAACAACCCTAAATAATTACACCTCTGAGAAGAGATTTGAGATGAAAATATGAGGATTTTCACCAAAAGAGAAACAAATGCAATTTGTATGCAGAGAAAGATGTTCAGCTTTACAGAGACTGAGGTCTGGGCTGCATGGCATGCTGTTTGAGGCCCTGTCAGAGGAGATTAGTTGTTTCATATAGTAATCATCACTAGCATCCTAATGGATTAAAAATACCCCTCTCACCTCCACAATGGAATATTTTGGATCAACATGACTTGTCTTAAAATAACTCAGCTCAGGGCCCTTGCACTTCTATCAGATACACAGGACACCCTGCAAGAGGCAAAACCTGGCCCTGCCTCTTACCTCCAAGAATGATTAAACAATATTTTTCAAGAGGGAGAACTGAACCAAGGTGGTTTTTTGAAGCTGCTTCCAACTGAGACGTGAGCTCTGGGTGAATGAGTGTGACTAGGTGGTGTGATAGCTAGGGCAATTTCCATGAATGATGCTGATCAGGAGTACAATTTTTGAAAGTAAATTTGACAAGGTGCTGAATTCCTCATAGACCAAGGTTAAGGAGATGCTACCATCAACTCCACAAGCCCTGCCATCTTTCCCCTCAGAGTCAGAAGTGTGTTTTTTTTTCTGGTGGATATGTCTGGTGCCATATTAATATGTTAGATTTAGGAAAGTGAAAAAATAAATGCAAACTTGAAATGGAAATTCTAGCCAGTCTATTAATGTGGTAGTTCACTGTGATCCAGATCTCATTAGTAGCACTGCATTGCAGTTATAGTTACGCTGCACTGGCTGGACTGTCAGAGCCATCAAGGAACAAAAACCTCTCCCTTTTCCCCTTTTTTTTCCCCCCAGTGAATTTTCAACTAGACCTGAGGAGCTGCAGTGCTTGTAGAAAGCAGCCCCTTGTCTCCACAAGGTAGCTGGTAGGACCTGTAGTTCACTGTCCTCTTATGCTAGCTTTCCAACCACATCCAGTAGGTTTCATAACTGCAGAGGAACATCCAGTGTACCTGCTTGCCAGGACAGAGCAGCAGCTTACAACAGGATTACTTGTCTGCAGGTTGCATCCTTCGGTGGCTGGCCAGAGGACTTTACATCAGCTGCATGCAGACTGTTGGAAAGGACCTGGTGGGATTTGTGCTAAGAGCACACCCAGGAAAGCAGAGTTCACACACATCAGCCTCAGCATCCCCAGGCCAGTTGCCTGAATAGGAATCTGCTTCATTTTTCAGCTGCTGACATCCTCAATAATTTTGTTTTCAGTTCTTAAAATACCTTTCAGTTGTCTCTCTCTAAGAAAAAAAAATCTATGTAATGCATAGGATTTTGAGAGACAACACGAGGAAATGTTCCTGTTGTCATTTCCTCTGTCTGGCTGCTCTTTGTCTTATGTTAAGCAAAGACAGAAAAAACAACATGGAATTTAAAGATGGATTTCAAGCGAGCAGAGAGAATTTGAAGGCTCTGGCACAGGTTTTAAAAACCTAGCTTTGTCTTTGGAGTGGGTTTTTGTATTAGCTTTTTGTGGATATGCAGAAGAGTTCGTGGATATGCGTTTCATAGGGTTTAAAATGTGCTCCTCATGCAACGACACCCCGAGCTTAAAGCTGACAGTCTGCAAATACCGATGAGCTCCCCGGATTAACATCGCTCTCTGTTCTGAGTGTACACGAGGAATGGGTTTTCTAGCTATGTGCTTGGCATGTGGCACTCTTTAGGGCAGAAAATGGGTTTAGAGCTGCACAGTTTAGCTTTGCAAATGCAGATTGGGTTGTTTATAGGTTTGGCTGTTTGACTTGTGCTTACAACTATATCAGCTCCCCACAATAAGCCTGCTTGAAATGTGTCCCTGGCAGTCAACTGGGCATTTCTAATCAAGCCTGACTCTGGAGCTACTTCCACACCCCAAAGGGATTACACTATCACAAATCACTGTGTACCATTTCCAAATGGTGTAATTGCTGGATGGCAGCTGGAGGAAATGCTGCCTGCTTCCTAATTTATAGAGATTGAAAAGTCATTTGTTTAAAGGAGAATTAGCTCTCTTTATCATCTGAAAAACAAAGTATTTTATGGCAATCTAAATATGTCAGAGAATTAGCATGCTGACATGAAACAAGGCAGAAAATGCTAAGAATTTTGGAAGACTTGTATGCTATTTTCAGTTTTGTACAGATTTTCCTGTGGGTCCTACAACAACCGGTCCTCCCACCTATTAAATGCCTATAATGTTATAATTTTACCTCCTTTTGAGGTCTACTGGAAAGCTTTACCCTTCAGTGTCTGCAAAATATTTTGAGATTCCCAATGTAGTTCGTTCTCTAAATGTAAAATATGCATTATTCATCCCCTTTTAAAATAGATTTCTGATTTAAGGATTATCTTGCAAGCAAAATGCAACTGAAATGAACAAGTTAGTATTTATGCTTTTCACAAATCCCAAAACCTGGGGAACTTCATTCTTTTCAGACTTTGCAGGATTTTCACTTTATTTAAGGTCCAGTTGATTCAGACCTCTCAGAAATCTGACTGCAATCAGCTCTCAATGAGCCAGCTACACTGGATATAGATCCACCAGTGTGGATATTTGCCTGATTAATTTGGTATTCGACTTATCTGGGGAGCGTATTAGCCCAGATTAATACATTCAGCTCCATGCAGGGTCAGCCAGGGTATCTCTGCACAATAATCCCACTGTGCTCTGGAAACTGGTTTTGCAGAGAGTTAGCTCATGTCTAGAAGGACTTATCATTGTGAATCATCCTTGGATCTATGAGCTCCAAGCTAGCTACAGGTTCCTCCCTCACATCAGCCTCTGGGAGGCTTATCAGCCCAGGTATGTGCAGTGGGAATTATCAAATGTGCATTTCCACGTAAATAAACAAGTCACCCCAGAGCTCACTCTGCCAGGGCTGCAATACAGTGACACCAGAGGACGTTGGCACCAGAGAACTAGCTCAGTACACTAGACCTCATAAGATTTGCAGTAAATTTTCACATAAAAAAGAAAAGGTTGAGAAAGAGACAGGTTAAGAAATGAAAGTTTGTTCATATTCTCACCTATAATGGCTTAATATGTTGGAAAAAAAAATGACAAAGCCTCCACAGGCAGCCCTGCAGTAATGCATGGATTACCAACTGGGAAGTTCATCATGCCACTGGTCTGGCTGAGCTTGGCAGCATCACAGGTTTATCTTTTCACACCCAGCTGCTCTTTAATGGCCTCACAAGCAGGCTATATTGGCCCCACACTTGTCCTCCCAGCTGCCAGCCTTTGTTAGATGTCCAGGTGCTCTCTTTGGCAGGTGACCAGGGCAGGGGAATAGACAGCTTCTTTCTCTCTTAGAGACACTGCCTTCCCAGCACCAAATCTTGCTTTGGTCTGCCAGGCAACCCACTCCTTTCTAGACATTTTGCAGTAGCTCCTTTGCTTATAACTCCATTCAAAAATGCTCTTAACTATAACTGCAGGTAGAGATGCAAACTTGGAGGGTTGCCCTGTTTTTTCTGATTGTCTAGCACCGATGATGTTCGTCTTTGAGTGCCCAGAGCACTGGAAGAGGCCATGCCTTGAAGCTGGCCAGTGGCAACATCTCTTGGCTGCTCATCTCTTCCACACTTCTGCTCTACAAACTAGACTGCTGATACACCTAGGGTTAAAATAGTCCTTCTCAAATAAAGAGAGAGAGTGTGATTTTTTCACTGGCAAAATTGCATCGACACAGTTTACAGGCTGACCTCAGCAACTGTACTTATATGTGTGGGAGAGGGCTAAGTGTGGATTGAGGGCAGGAAAAAGTGTCAGTGAAACAGGGTAGAGAAAGACAGAGAGGCAAGATGTGCTGTGAGGCAGGAATTTCTTACATAACATCCAGACAAAACCCAAACACTAAGGTGCAACGCAGTTTCAAAACAATTAACAGATATTATTTAAAAACTGGAAAGCAGCAAAATTCTTGCATTTATTTAAGAAGAGGAAAGGAAAACTGGGAAAACTATGGATCCACCAGCCTCGATTTAATTTCTGGAACATAGAAGCGTGCTATCTATAAGCACCAAAAACCACAACCCATATGGATTTCTTAAGAATGAAGCATGGCAGAGTTACCTCATTTTTCTTCCCAGGCAGTGCAAGAAGCCTGATGGAAAACAGAAAATCAAAAGATGTCAGATAACATAAGTGTGGTAGGGCTTTTGACCCCTTGTTTCCCCTGGCATTTTTAAAATCAGACTGTAGTAACGTGTTCTTGGAGCCACTATAATGTTGTTGCCTAACCTGCACTCAAGAAATAATTATCAGAGATTTAGTGTCAAGCCAGAAGATTGTAACAAATGAGGGTTCAGAGGTCTGTATAAAGTCCAGGGCATACCAGTATTTTCTATAGTGCTTGAGATGCTGGAAAAGGGAGAATAGGTACTAAGGGGCAGCTGGTATGTAGCCAGGAGGGACTGCAAGCACTTTGAAGGAAATGCCTGGACTTCAATGTAAGTGTGACAAATTGGAGAAATGGTGTGGAAAAGTAGGAAGCAATTCTATATGAAGAAGTGCAAAGTCAGATCAGCATGTGTCAGCAATGGTTTACACAGAGGTGAGTTGCCTTGTGCCTGCAGGGATGGACAGGTGACCTACCAGGGTTTCTCACAGCTTTTGCTTTTCAGTAAGAAGATATTTTACACTGGAAAAGGAAGGAAGGAAGAAGGAAGGAAGGAAGGGAGGGAGGGAGGAAGGAAGGAAGGAAGGGAGGGAGGGAGGGAGGGAATGGTCCTGTCCCCAAGGTGTTAATGGTCAATGCAGATGACGGAGACAAAATGACAAGTATAAAAGAGAGACAGCCTGAAGGCAAGGCTCAAAACATTATCCAGATCTCCTGAACCTCTGTCTGCTGATTCACCCCCTGATAAATTGCTTTGAACTAATAGAGGTTTTGACTGGCATTTAATTCAGTGCACGTTTAGTAGATAGGTCTCTGTTGCTGAAATCTCTGTAACTGGTGTTATAGATGGCAATAGACACAAATAAAATAAAATAAAATAAATAAATAAAATAAAATAAAATAAAATAAAATAAAATAAATAGGGTCATATGGAAAAAATGTTTTTCCACTTACAAAATAATGGTGTGTGGCTCATGTCCCATGGCTTATTGGTCCAGCCCATGGGGTTCCAGGACACCCAGTCCTTCACAGGCTCTGAACTCCATTGCAGACAGTGTCTGATATCCTCCATTTTCCCAGCTTAATTCTACCTTGTAGAATTAAATGCCACGTAACAAATTACATTGTCAAAGCAGACTGAGAAGAAATGAATCTTTCCAACCTCATTCAGTTAATCCAAAATAAATAATGTGATATTTTTCAGTCCATTGCACCAGGAACAGACTATGCCAGATGATTTCTTCTTCCTAATTGAGAAGAAATGGCCGGTTAATGCAGCTGCAAGGGAAATGGAGAGGTCTGGCACTTCCAGGGCTGCAGAGGGGAAAAAAAAAAAACAACTCTGAAAACTCTTGTTTGGTGATATGTCAGAAAGCATCCTCCCCCCTTTTAAGTATATCAAAAAGTGTCTGTCCCTAAGTGGACATAACAGATTTTATATGTTACAGAGATTGACTTGTGGTGAAGAAAAGCAGCTTATGTTTCAAAGTGAACCAGGTAATCACTGGGGTTAATTAGTCCCCTGCAGCCAGGAATGGCCACAGGTGCCACATTATTCTTCTCACTGCACCAAGAAATGAATTGCACACATCACTTGCAGAAAAATATAAGTGTTTTGTGTTTTTTCTTCACCGCTGATTGCAATATAAAAGAAAAATACAGCCTGGTTACAGATGCCCATGAGCCTGGATGTGTTGGCTGCCTGGAGTGGACTATTCTGCCTGCTGAGTAACTGCTCATTTCCTGATTTCTCGTGGCTATCTGTGCTTTCCAAATGGATTTATTTTCCAGGACCCAGTTACAGTCTGTCTGCGCAGCCTCCTCCTCCCGGTGATGCTTGGAGGCAGCCATCAGAGAGCTGCTGGCACTGCTGCCCCAGACGGATGCACCACATGAGGATGTCACCACAGGACCCTAACTGAGGTGGCCAAGTGAGCTGAGGCTCTGGCACATCCCTCTGTCATGATCCCCAGCTGCGTGTCCTCATGGCACACATCCCGTGTGGCTCCTGGCAGCACGTGTGCCATGCAGGATGCAACCCCACGGGTGGATTTCCCACTTCTGGTGCCAGACCATTGCACAGCACTTCTGCCTCTGAGGTGAGAAACTATACGCCACACCTCCTCTGTGGCTCTTTCCATACTGTGGCTTGCTGCAGAGCAAATGATGCCTTCAGATTACAGGCAGAGCCCTCACAAAAGAAATGGCATTGCCCTGCTGTTATTCCACGGCCCTTCTGTATTAGAAGTGGTTCTGTGATAGAAATCAGATCTATGGCCTTTACTTTCCCAGTGTTTACCAGGATAGAAATGTCACAAGTCCTGGATATTTGCTCTGTGGCCCTGTAGTTTGAAGAAATAAAAGATGAGGAACAACAGGGCTGAAACATGTACTTTCTTCTGTGAGATGGGTAATTGATGAAGGTGGAAGTTGGTGGAACTTGTGAAGAGCTTTTAGCTGCTGTTAGAGATAAACCTCTGTGGAAAGGAACATTATAAATGTACGGTGTGGGTGTATTGGAGACAGGAACTGAAATGTGGAGTAAATTCTGTGCTGACATTGTGCTCATCAGCAGAGCCTACTATCCCCATGTGCTCAGTGCCAGTGTTGTGGCTGTTGTCTCAAGGAGATGAAGCTCTTCTTCCCCATGGCACACTCTAGATGTTCCTCACCACAGAACTTTAAAATCTAGTAAATTGTAACACTTTCAGTGGTTAGTAATGCAAACGTGGCCACCACAGTGAGATAAGTAAAACTAAAGAGCATGGCTCACACAAACCCGAGCTGTTACTTTTTTGTCTGCTTTGATCCTTGCATATTTTCCAAAGGTGAACATCGAAGGATGTGCTTTGAATAAGGTCCGTGGTGCATCATAGAATCATAGAATCATAGAATATCCTGAGTTGGAAGGGACCCTTAAGGATCATCAAGTCCAACTCTTGACACCGCACAGGTCTACCCAAGTTCAGACCATGTGACTAAGTGCACAGTCCAATCTCTTCTTAAATTCAGTCAGGCTCGGTGCAGTGACCACTTCCCTGGGGAGCCTGTTCCAGTGTGCAACCACTCTCTCTGTGAAGAACCCCTTCCTGATGTCCAGCCTAAACTTCCCCTGCCTCAGCTTAACTCCGTTCCCGCGGGTCCTGTCGCTGGTGTTAATGGAGAAAAGGTCTCCTGCCTCTCGACACCCCCTTACGAGGAAGTTGTAGACTGCGATGAGGTCTCCCCTCAGCCTCCTCTTCTCCAGGCTGAACAGGCCCAGTGCCCTCAGCCGTTCCTCGTACGTCTTCCCCTCCAGGCCTTTCACCATCTTCGTAGCCCTCCTCTGGACATCACCTGCACCAAGTACACACAAGTCACTAGACACAAGTCTTTGTATATTATTTTTGCTATTTCTGTATTATTTTTTGCTATCAGAATTACTGGTGCATAATGCAATATGCTGTTATGACATAATATATCTAAGAAAAAAAAATACTTAGTTTACAGCTGACTTGAATTATTTAAAAATCATTATAATCAGCTGCTGCTTAACATGGATTAAAATAATTTATTTTCCATAACATGTTTTCCAGTACATAGAGACAACTTGGAAAATGTATGACAGTTTGAATAATAAAACAAGAATAGCTCGTTTTTGTTCTTGAAAAGTGTTGTTTAACTGCAAAAAGCATAAAACATTTAATATAGAAAATAGAATACAGTGTTCCACTCTGAACTAACCAGAAGTTGTCTATAATGTTGCTGTTGTTTTTTTTTCTTATATGTACATATGTATGTATTATACCTTAATTGAAATTCTCCACTGCAATGGTAATATACAAATATTTCATTAGAAGGTAAGAAAAGTCTATAAAATTAAATGTCCCTCTATATTTTTTTAATAGGAAAATTTCAATTTGAAATAATTTCAATGTTATTGAAGTGACACTGAGAGTCACTATATATTGAGCAAATTATTTTTAAGGCTTTCTGTTTCAGGGATACTTTGCAAATCATCTGCAGCTATTCCAACAAGGAGTACACCCAAGATGTAAGGTGCTGGGACTTGGCTCTATGCAGAGATTTGGGGCTCTGAGCATGCCCATGAGTGGCCTGTGTGGCAGAAATCATCAATGGATGGACTGAGAGACACAAACCCAGCAAACCTGGTGCTGGTGAGGCAGTGAACCCTGCTGGGGAGCCTTAATGGAGTGGCCGCACCAGCACAAGCCCCAACATGGCACCACCGTGAAATTGGCAGAGTGCTCCTAGCTTCTAGGTCTTTCCAAATGTCAAAATACATCACTCCACTGTTTGTATTTGCTTGCATTTCATGCTGAACGCTGCTATAAACAGCTCATTTAGAGAATGGGGAGGGCTCAGCAGGTGCATCCAAGGGTGCATGGTGCTTTAAAAGAATTTGACAAGGCTCTCAGATGCATTTGGATAATAAACACAAAATGCAGTGGAAGAGAAAGTGAATGTTGGACACCTGCACTTGGCAGAAAAAAATGATCCAGCAAAAATTATGAATGCAATTCACACTTTCTTTGAAAATCATGTCTTTTAAAGAAACTACCTCTGATCAAAAATGTACTGTAAATCATCATAAATTTACTCTCTTCTTTAAAACTAAACTGTGTTTAACACATGATTAGAAAAATCAGGTTTTCACTTGACTTACACCCATAATTAAGGACTATATTATTTTGGCTCAACATCTGATTTGCACGGGCATGTTCAAGCATGTGTTTTTTTGTATGGCTTCAGCACAAAGTGTAAAGGCAGAGGAGTGGAACACACAGCCCACAAGGTGTGTTATATTGCATGCACAACCAACAATGAAAATGTAAATATAAACAATCTGGGTCAGACATAAATAATTAAGCAAATGGGGAAGGGTAGAACAAAGTTGCTCAGAAAGCTGAGCTCAGAGCACGCAATAGCACAGGTCACTCAGAGAAAGGTTTGCAGCAATGCTAGGTCAGGAATCGTGCCTTGCAGCTCCTCAGGGAAGCACACTCTAGGAAAAAAGGCAGGGAAGATAAATTATTTAGTGATCTTCCTTGTTATATGAAAGACAAAGAAGAGAATATCAGCATTATTAGCAAGGCACTACATATTTTAAGGATAACTGTGAGCCCCAGAAAAGTCAAAGATGTGGCCATATTTTACCAAAACATGTTTTCAGTTTCTCTAAGCAACTAACAAACACAGTGCTTTGTGTGCAGATGAAGAAATATTCATGGCTTTGAAATAAAATATGTGAAACTCCCACTTGATGGTTGGAACTAGGTGGAGCTCTCATGTGTTTTTGACCATACATTTCAACAAAAATTTGTTGAGTACATACCAGATTTAATCAAACAGCCACAAATTAATCAAACAGCTTACAAATATGAAAGAGGCATGTTGGAAACGGGAGAGGAGAGGGGTACAGCTTCCCACCGTATATTCTGCTGATCCCTCTCAGTAACCAGTGCCTCCAGCCATTCCTGTTGAGTTTACTGAGGCCTTGACATTTGCCCTTCTTTGACTTCATCCAATTACTTCTAACATCTGAAACATCACATGGCAGCGAGTTCTTCTGCTCTGTGCTCAATAGTAAACTCATTTTATTGGCATTTCTTCTTGGGGTAGTATATGGAATATTTCTCAATTTCATATATATATGTATATTATAAAAAAAAATAAATAATCTCAAACTGCAATATTTTGTCCCAAACAGCTTTTCCAGGCAGAGAGATGATTGCAAGCAAACCTTTCATAAAAGGTCCTTGCAGTCAACCCTAGCAGAGCAATATCATATTGAGCACTCACCCTGAAATAACCTGATGGATTTTGCAAGTTTAAGAGCTCTCTTTTGTGTTAGATGAAACAGGAGATTTTGTGTGCATTACCTCTTCATCTGAGGTTCTTAACACACAGTAGCATAGTACAGTAAATAATAAATCTTAACACTCATTAACTGGCTGGCCACTGTGAAATGTTTTGTATATTCCTGATGATTATAAATTACAGTGAAATCAAAAGGAAAAAAAGCAAAACACCTAACACATGAAAGCCTTGCAAAGTTATGAAGGGCAAAAGGGCTTATGAGGTCTAATTTATTTTGAGCAGTCTGTGCTGCTTTGAAAAAAATCCTCTGCAAATGATTCAGCAGGGTTATCTGAGGAAATTGGCCACCACAAGGAGTGGAGTCTTGTTCTGGGGTTTACAGTTCATCTTCTGCCTGTCTCTGCTTTTCACTTTAATCCAGATAAACAAATATAAAATGGACAGAGGAAAAAAAAAACAAAAAAACAAAAAAACAAAAACAAAACAAAACAAAACAAACAAACAAACAAACAAAAACTTAGTAAATGTTTTTAAAGGACGCTGTTGTAGCAAGAAGACCAGAAGAGGGCTGACCACATTAATATTCTGTTTTTCCTGAAGTGGGGCACCTTGGTGAAGCAGGCAGTCAAGGGTTAATATCCTTTCTGTAGGCTCTAAATTCATACTGGGATGCTTAAATTTTACCTATACTCTAATCCCATCCATTAAGCACTATCCAGTCCAGTGAAAAGGCACCACCAGCATCAGGCAAACACAAAGTAACAACATTTTCCACATTACTACATTTATTTTACCATCATTTTCTCCCATTTGGCAGCAGACCTTGGTGACCCACTTCATCTGGGCCCAGGACATGATGAGTTCTTCAAGAAGGATCTTACTGCAGGTCTGAGCCATGGGGCAGGAGGACAACATGCCCACACCTTGCACGACCCTGCAGCTCTACCATCCTGCGCCCTCAAGTGAATGGTGTTGGTGTCATTGCTGTTGCAGAAGAGTTTGCAGAAAGTCTTCACACCTTGTGCCTGGAACAAAAAACTAGTGCTGGATTTCACCTGTGAAATTTGGGATTTAAAACGAGAAGCACACAGATGTGCCCTAAGGATGAGCCAGCTGTACCGGACACTGAATCCTGGAGAGAGGTTCAGTTGAAAAAGAGAGCTGCCTCTCTCACATTCACTTTGACCAGATCTTCCTTAGTAAGGCGACTTTTGTGGATCACGTTAATTAAGTGGGCTGTCACACAGAGGCAGATAAACACCTGCTATACTTCAAGGCAGGGAGGGTCGTGGTGTTACGACAGAGACAAGCATATCAGCGTGAGCAGGCCACTGAGCACTGGGGCTAAATTCAGGTACAAGACCGGGTGAGTCACCTGCAGGTAAGAGGTTAATGTCAGCACTGTCTTCAGGAGAGACTGGCTCTTAAAATATCACATCTGAATGCATGCTCTTCTCAAGCTACAGAAACCTGCCAGGCCTGCTGCCAAGAGGAGTTGGGTTGCAGGTGCTGTGGTGCTGGTTCCTGGCTGCTCCTGCAGGATGTTCTACACCAGTATATATTTCCAAATCCAAGACAGCATCTTTATCTTCAAACTGCAGTGGGTGCCAGACCACTCTCCCCCAGCGATCGCTGGATGAACCTGGAATGGTTTCCACGGGGTTCAAATATCGAGGAGGAAAAATCCTAAGGCATAAATTTCACAGCTTGATCTCCTATCTCCTCTCTGCAGCAGCCTGCAAAGGTGCTCCTGAGTGCTTCTTCTCCCAGGCTTCAGACTGTGTATATAAGCAATTTTTGCATGCTTTGATGCCTAAATTCTTGGTATATAGCTTCAGGCAGGCAGCTCAGGTACCTGTGGTGGGACCAACACCTCCTTGGGCTTTCCCCATATCAAGTGTCACAAGCAGGCCCACCAAAGGCTGGCTTGGATCCTTTTTTTACAAAACTATCCTATCTACACAAGGAAAAAATGTGTGCGTGTCTCTATGGGCATGCATGGAGGTGCACGTATGTGCACGAGCATCCTTACAGCTCTGCAGAACAATTTGATGCTGTCTGAAAATGCAGCCTGAGGTATTTAAAAGCGAGGAGCACAATATATGGAGAGGAATACAGTACCCTGCTAAAAATATTGTATGTCTGATCTGGGAATACTTATGGTTTAAGTGGGCTATAAATGAACACTTAACTGCTTTAGAGCTGTGAAGTGATGACCCTCAGGTGGCCTTGGGACATGCCGCATGGTCTCCTGTAGCTGCCACTCCACTGAAAATAGTGGGGCTGAGCACCGCAGAGGCAGCCTGGAGTGCAAGGCTGCCTCCAGGAACCAGCAGCCTGTCCTCTGCCTGACTTAATGCTCTGATGTTTCCAAAACAATGAAATTCTGCTCTCCTAAATGGAATAAATGATATTTACGAATGCCAAATCAAAAGCACGTGTAGGCTGAGCCCCACATTTTAATACCTGGAATCATACTGCTTTTGCAATACAAACCATAAACCATTCTCACGAGAAAGAGATAAGCACTGATCATTTAGTACATAAATCATTTGAGGATGTTAAGGCTGTATGACAGAAAAAATATTTAACACAGATTTTTAACAAATATAGGAGCAAGGTTTGGCTTATTCCAATTCATGGCATTTCTTATGGGAAACTATTTGGACAATTGCTCCACATTTGTTATGTCCTTCTGAGTATTGCTAATTTTAGCACAAATGATTGTTCATCTAAAAATTCATGCCTGAAATGAAATGCTTCTCTATTTATTATTCTCTTCTCATAAATGTTTGCTACCCAGTCACGAGAGGGAAAGCACGGAGTAATAGCACAGCTCCCCACATGGCACAAATAGCAAGCAGTAGAAAGAAGCACTAAGGCAGTTTTGGAGATGAGCTATGTCAATTCAAGTTAATATTAGACATAAAGCCTTCTTCATTCCTTGCATGCTCCACCAGAGATACAATGTCACCCCCAAATCAGCACACCTCCCACCTTCCCAGACAGCAGGGCAGCACCACCGCTGAGTTTACAGGGTTGGACATCGTGGGGTTTCTCCCCACCAAGCTTCAAGGCAGCAGAGCCTGGAAGAAGGACTTGGGGGTGTTCTTCCTGTGTGTCTAGGTGGGCACAGTCAGGACCCCAGTGTGTGTCTGAGACACACTGACCCCACTGTGTGGGCTGAAACAGCATCACAATCCGGTTTCTGTGCTATGCAGCAGCATCTACGTTCACATGCACCCTTGCAAATCTGGGAAGTGTACCAGGAGTGACACCTGTCTGCCTATTAGTTTCCTTTCAGCAAATTTGATGCTAACAGTATCCCTTAGCCAAGAGAGGATTCAGAAATTTGGTTTCACATCCTAGTTCATTATATTACTGGTCAACTGCACCACTATAAGAACAAATGCAAACTAGAGGTCAGTCTGCAGCCATCAAACAGGAGAAGATGAGAAAGATGTTTTTATTAAACAAATATTCTCAAACTCATAAGCTTAAGTGTGACCAGCATAATGCAACCAATTCCTATGGAAAGCCTTCAGACTGCTTATGATTTTCCTTTTATATTTCATAACCGTTTAACTCCTCATCCTAAAAAATTCTCTCCTAATCTTCTACTGTTTATTTTCAGTCCCTGTGATGACCTCTTTCATCTAGTGGGGATTCTGTTATTAATGAAGCTGAAGCAACGCCTTCTCATAATCTTTCTGCTGCTGAGCTCAGAACTCCAATTCCTAGAACATTTGGTATGAAGGACATTTTGTTTATCTGATAAGTTGAGGCTATATTTTTTCCCCAGTGTAAAATAATCTGGCCACACCTTGTTGAGCAATTTTGTGTGTGTGTGTGTCTAGACCATCACCTGGCTTAATGCAGTCAAAAAAGGTCAAAGCAAAAGTGTTAAAAAATATATATATAATGGAAAAATAGGCCTGGGTTTCAAAGTCTAATGAGAAAAGGTGTATCCATATACTGAATGTGAAATAAACAACTGCAGGAAGGAATGATTCAGGATTTAACTGCAGTCTTGGAATTATTGGTAATTTTGCTACCCAAGAAAAAAACCTGTAATTAAAGGTGAATACAATTCACTGCCATAAATTACTGTCCCAAGCAACTGGGAATGAAGGCAGGCAGTTTCAATGTTATGGTTGAAATTGTGGCAGCCCAGTCCCCCAGTCTTGGCTGGCACCTCCCAGGCAATGTAAATAATAATATTCTCAAGTAGCCTTTGTGACGGGAGCTTTAAAGGTACACATGATAATTGGGGCTATTTTCAAAATAGTTTGTTCTGCTCCTCCAGAGCAGTCATTGGAGTGACTACTGCTTTTCAGGTTCCTCTGCTGCCGTATGAGGCCGTGTAAGTGCTCCCTTGTGGTGTTACTGCCAAGCAGGTGAGTGATGCTCAGGATGCACGGTCCTGTGTTGAATATCACCACACAGGGCCTCCCGGTTCCTCCCATTGCTAGTGTTTCATGCACCACTACGATGTTTTCCATCTGTCTCTGCATCACCTCCATGAAAAGAGTATCTGAAAAAAATGGCCAATAAACCATTAGAAATGCATTCAACATTTCTGTTTCATATTCACGTGAAGTGAATGTCTCATGGGCATTTAAAGCAGTTAGCAAAGGGTAAAAAGCATCAAAAGACAGTGCTAACCAAATTCCAGTACCTTTGGGTTTTGCTTTGTTAGTGATATCCTAGGCTTTGCTTTGTTAGTGATATCCTAGGCTTGTAAATACATACAAATCCCACAAACAGATCAATTCTGCTCAGCCTATTTCTCTCCTTGGTACATTCATCTTAGTTTATTGGCTCATGGTTGACGTCTTAGTTTATTGGTTCATGGTTGACGTGCACCTGCTTTAACTCATTTGTGGTCTCATCATTAGTCCCTGGTAAAGATGTATTTCTGCTAAATCCAGCCCCTGCCTTTTCTTTTTAACACAGTGCACTTCTAATTACATCTCCTGCCAAAGGTGGTGTGAGTTTTTGTGTCACACCAGCCTGCCTTGGAGGGAGCAGTTGAGAGCGCAGCGGATAATACTATGTGACACATGTTACTCAGCATTTTCATCACCGCATTAGTCCTGTTACTTCATATTTGTAAGTTTGAAAACAGTAACATTTTCTTTTCTAAGTGCCTTACATAAATAGGCCTTAGTGAGAACAACCCCATTCCAAAATGAAGACAGAAAGTAACAGGCTCGATCACTTGGAAACAGCAATTTGTTAAACAGAACAGAGCACTCCCATTGCTTTTGGTCCATCTTTATTGCTTCCAGAAGGCAACACTCTCAGGAAACTTTGCATGGCCAGATGTTCAGTTTTTACAGCTGTTGAAATATTTTTGGAAGGGCCATCAGTCAAGATAAAATTACAGGTCACTGGGGACACGTTCTGACCTTTGCAGGAAGACGGTGGTTTGGCTCACAGACCGGCCTTCCTGGCCAAAAGTCTGCCGGGAGGTGGATGCTGTGACATCTCTAATTGGACCCCATTATTCAAGCTGATGGCCTCGCTCACGTCTGGGTATTACCCTGCAGTGCGGGACAGCGGAGTCAGCCTGGCGAGGCCTGGTGATTTTAACCCTGGCAAAGCAGCATCTAATTTATGTGCTGATCACTACCGTGTGATTAGCATCACCTACTTGCTGTCATTTCTAAACAAATAGATTGAGATGTCCTGCCTTGCACCAGGAAGCATCTCATACCACAGATGCAATGGGAGAGGTCACTGAATATTAGCTGTGACACCAAAATCCTGCCGTGCGTGCTGGTTTTCATGTGAACAGAGGGAACATGGGCACTCACAATCCACTCTGTTGCCTCCACGCAGGCAACCAGCGCTGAGTCCTCACCTGTCCTTGCATCGCTCCTCCAGGAGGAGGGAGGTTCCTACAAGTCCTTCATCACATCTGTCAACCCCTTGCAGGTGTCCTGTGTACCCGAGGGCCTCTTGAATGGCACTAGGTACCCACTTGTGTGCAGCTGAACCAAGCTCCTGGTGGGCGACCAGATGAACAAGGCTGGTGGGGGTTAGTGGAAAGATTCAGCCTTGTGAACATGGGTTTCTAATTCTGCTCTATGAGCCCTGGCCTCCACATGCCACCCCAAGAAAGCACAACCTCTGTCGCAGCTCTTGGCCCCATCAGGGTGTCACTGGACCCTGGGTGCAGGCAACTGAACCAGACCATAGGCCTCCCCAGCCAGAAAGGCAGCCTGGACACCCTGTGCTGGGGCAGGCTCCTGCATACTGACACCCACACACAGGTTTCTTCATCTGGAGATAAATCTCGGACATGGTTTTCCAGAGGCAAGTTAGATCCAGTGTTTCCCAACAGTAACGCCTTCAGTCTCCTTCTCAGATCGAGCCAAATTTGCATGAGGCACCAGAAGTACTTCTAAGGAGCTGTAACTTTAGATAGCTGAGCATTTAGTTATCCATTGTTAAACATATCAGTCCGTAACTGGAAATTGCAACCCAGTGGGGACAATGTACAAATCTTCATGTGGCTGATTATAAAATCATTAACTATTTTATTGTTCTTTGTCATTTTTCCCTAGTCAGACATTTTTCCAGCTAGCAGAAATCACAAATTATATTCATACTAAAATTGCACATTTGGTAATTGATTAAAATTGTTACTTCTGTTAACTATTCTTTCAGTCAATTGCAATACTAAGGTGAAGAAAGCATCCAGCACAGTTAGATTGAGATCTCATTATCAGCATGAATTGCCCTAAGTGGAGGCTCACCCCAAAAGACCTGATTCCAGCTGCTTGTTCCCTCTTGTTCCAGCAGCAGTGTCCCTGCAGCTGCAGGATGAGTCGAGCCAGGGAATTATCAGTTGAAAAGGAGTTTTGTTGGTTTTTATACCTGGTTAGTACTCAGCCAGATGAGGCTCAGTCGGGGACTTCACAGACTCTAATGCTGGCACATGGGAGGCACGGGAACAAGGGAACATAGGTGAGCTTAAGCCTACTGCGAATCCTCAATCTGAAAACTATCTGAAAAATTCTGAATTTATGGTTTAGGGTAAAAAATATATATTACAACACTTGGACTACATTAAAACTATCAGTAGCTCAAATGCCAAAGCCTTTGTTTTCTCTACAAAGAAGCCTTGATGTAGTCACTCTTGCGTGCTGATCTTGCAAGACTAGCAGTCTTTTCCCTGCTGCTGAGTGAGTCCCAGATGGTTCATACAGCTATTTGTCCTACATGCTTATAAGGATCCATTATCTGGATAGCTGACTTGTGCAGCAAAAGGTTTTCCAACCCAGAATGTTTTGTCTCAGTGCTCATTGCTATGGTTTTCAGCCATATGTGCAACGTTTTAATTGATATATTTATTATTTATTATGGAATCGCTCCTGTGGAAAAGAGCTCGTTGAAAAAAAAAAAAAAAAAAAAAAAGTTTAATGCCATGACCAGAACACAGTGAGGATTGAGGTCATTCACTGCCGCAGGGCCAGAAATTTTGCAGCTGAGATTGTCATAAACTGAGCACCTGCCTAGTTCACTTTTGGCTGCTTTATGCCAGTGATGTTAATCTTGCTGATCTAAAAAGCAGGCTGCAAACCTGGTGAAAAAAAGCAGGAGTTGTCTGATGGTTTGCAGGGCAGGGTGAGGCTGCAGGAAAAGATTTTGCTTGTACAGAGGAAAAAGTACAGCCTTTCCTTTCCTTTCCTTTCCTTTCCTTTCCTTTCCTTTCCTTTCCTTTCCTTTCCTTTCCTTTCCTTTCCTTTCCTTTCCTTTCCTTTCCTTTCCTTTCCTTTCCTTTCCTTTCCTTTTCCTTCCTTTCCTTCCTTTCCTTTCCTTTCCTTTCCTTTCCTTTCCTTTCCCTGTTTCTTTTTCTTCTTGTTTTTCCTTTTCCTTCTTATTTTTCCTTTTCCTTCTTCTTTCCTCTTCCTTTTTTCTCTTCCTCTTCCTTTTCCTTTTTTTCTCTTTTATCTTTTTTCCTTTTCATTTTTCTTCTTCTTTTTTTTTTCCTTTTCTTTTTTCTTTTCCTTTTTTTTTTTCCTTCCCCAGGCACCCCTGCATTCACACAGCCGAGCGCCGTGCCCCCGCCGGCTCCAGCAGCACCCAGGGGTGGCAGTGACACCTAGCGGTGCGCCCGCACCCCCCGCACCCCGCAGCGGGGCGGCCCGGGGGCAGGGCTGTGTGGGGTCCCGCTGCTTTTGGGGATGTGGACTGAGCAGCCCCGAGCTGGGCACGGCTCCCCGCGGCCCCCTTTCCACGCCTCCTGTGGGGCATCTCTCAGCATCCTGAGTGGCTCAGCTGCCAGGGCTCCCTGAAACGTGCCGCTAATTGGGCTCTCTTGTACTGGTTTTGGAGAGGTTTGAGCAATGGGGGAGGTTTGGGAAGGAAGGATGTGCCCAGAGGGCTTGTCACAGAGGGTTGTGTTAGGTGGATGGGCACAAACCCGGCTAGAGCATCCCTGCCTGCCAGCATGGCACTGGGTGCCCCGTGGCGTGACAGTGCCCTATGGGAAGCACAGCTCTGATGTGTGCTAAAGCTGCTTTTCAGCACCTGGATCACACATCTGGCCTGGCTGGAGAGGGCTGAGGATGTGTCTTATAATCAACACATCCATGGGCTGCAAGCTCTGCGGTGAGAGGTTCATATTTTTGTCCAGTGCATGCATAGCACCTATAGCAAAGCAACAGTCCAAGCCTGGGGTTGCTCTGTGCTATAGTAGCACAAACCGTAGTAAGGAACCTTCATGTAGGATAAATAAGCAAGGGGATGTGGCAGAAATAAGGCCAGTTGTTGTGTTATCCTTGCTCTTTGCACAGACTCTTTTCACCTTGGCAAAAGGAGCTCAGCTATCATTTGGAAATGTAGCACAGCCTGTTTTCAGTGCCTGAATCACAGAAGCCCACATGGCCCTGTGCAAATGTTTAGAAATAGGCACCATGACCCCTCTTCATGGACATAACTCACGGGCCCAGACAGTGCAAGAACACTGTAAGGAAAAGACATCATTGCAGCAGGTGCAACAGCTACTTAACAATGGATTTTTCTTTTCCTTTTCTGAGCATATCCACTGTCTGCTGAACTTTACACTGGCTCTCAGAGTATTGGCAGGTTTTCTGGTTTGGCATGCCTTTGAATCGTACAGGAATCCTGAACTCACTCTCAAATCCATTTAAACCCCCTTTAGCACAATGCTTCTACTTAGACTAGTTTAAAATAATAAAAATGAAGACAACAGTAAATGTTGAAATTTTGCTTTTCAGTGGCCCCAACAGCTATGCAGTCACTTGGCACCTGCCCTCATAAATCAGCTTAGAGTCCAGCCAAGATGAGCTTCTTTAAAATACCCTTTTATTGCTTCACAGGGTATTAGCTTTTTGCCATCACAGATTCAAAACATGCCTGTGCTTCCTGGAACTGGTTGGACTGCATCCCCTCTTCTACTTCCAAAACAGAGACTTGTTGTAAAAAACACTATGCTCGTTCAGACTGCACCGCTACCAGGTGCAAGCAGCTGATAGAAGAGAAAAGGCATGAAGCAGCTGAGAAAAAATGAAGATATCAGATGGAGTTAATCTAATTCCCAAGGAGGGAAACAATGGTATGTCAACAGGTCCTAGGCTAAGAGGAGGAAGTCCTTCTGAGAATACCTTAATACTGGTTGCCAGTAATTGCTCATTTTGGGGAAGAGAAGAGAAAGGAGAAGAAGAGAAGAGAAGAGAAGAGAAGAGAAGAGAAGAGAAGAGAAGAGAAGAGAAGAGAAGAGAAGAGAAGAGAAGAGAAGAGAGAGAAGAAAGAAGAGAAAAGAAAGATAAGAAAGATAAGCGAAAAATAGAAGAGAAAGAAGAGAAGAGAAGAGAAAGAAGGAAGAACCCCCGACCCTCTCGCCTCTCCTCCCCTCCTCTCAAGAAAAGACTCTCCTCTCCTCTCCTCCCCTCCACCCACCCTACCTCTCCTCCTTCCCTCCTCCCCTGACCTCCTCCCCCCCTCCTCGCCTCTCCTCCTCCCCTCTCATCTCCTCTCCTCCCTCCTCTCACCTCGCCCACCTCCACTCTCTCCCCCCTCCCAAAAAAGCGAAAAGAAAAAGAAAAGTGCTGTTCCCACAAAAATCACAGCAATGTTGGTTGTGTTGGTTTGCACACCTGGAAGAAGATGTGCCTCTAGCAATGAGGTGCTGAAACAGTCCCAGACTGGTTGTGCAGACCATCAGGTGCTCTCTTTCTGCACCAGCAATGGATTAAGGGCAGTACAAAGCCCCTTTGTAATACCCTCGGATTGGTCTGTGCCCTGCTGGAGGAGGACTGCAACCACTCAGAATGAACCTCTACCAAACTCCTTTTGCAGTGCTTGGTGCACACCAGAAATGGCTGGTTCAGCAAATACTGCTGGCTCTAGGTCAAGAAGGCCACCCAGATTTAGTGTTTGTGGGTGTGTTTAAAAAAAAAAAAAAGTTAATTATGCTGGATTTATTTGCTTGATTTGAGTTTTAAAATGCTCCAGTAAGAATCTGCCTATGGGACACAACAGAGTCAATAGCAGTCCTAAGGAACTTCATGTAGTTTTTGGTCTTGCTGGGAGGGCATGGAGGGCACTTCTGACAGCAGATTGACTCAATCTGGCACAGAACTTCTGGTGTGCAGAGATTCTGCTTCCTTGCCTTTCTTGATAGGGCAAGGTCTGGAAGACTAAAATATCTACATTTAGGCACCTGCCTGCAAGCCGGATGTCTGTAGTCCCTGTAATGGAGAGCTGGTCAGTCCAGACAGGGGCCGTCCATTCTATTAAGAGCCTACTTCCAGGCAAACTAACTTATTTTCTAGACTCTGTTGACTGTATGGGGACATTAAACACCCTTAGACACAGTGAGGTTGCTGATAGGTGCTGAGTGCCAGACTTCAGGGCATCCTTCCAGGCCTTCGTGTGCTACACTGGGAGGTCCTGTGTTGCATCTGCCAACTCCTTGTCGATGTCTCATATTCCCTGTAGCATCTCAAGCAACATGAGAAGTCTCTGTGGAGGCAATTGAATCACCCTCTGAGCTCATGTGTCAACATCTCTATGCAAACACTTCAGTGTAGGTACTGAACTGAATATTTCTGTCTTGAACTGAAACCTAACACAGCTGTGTGGCAGTCAACGCCTCCCTATACTTGTGTGGTGGGACAGCCAGGCTCAGCCTGCAGCTCAGGGTTTCCATCCATGCAATCCTCCCACTCAAGAGGGGAGTTCTTGTTCTTTTGATCCATGCAAGAACCTTGTCCATGGACTTCTGAGCCTTGTTGATGATCCAGATGAGTGAGTTTTGTTTTAGATTGTCCCAAACTAGCTTTGCATAACAGACTGATTTTGTCTTTACTGCTGTTCATGTCAGTGACATCATTAAGTGTTGCAACCTTTGGTAGGAAACGGAAAGTTTTTCTCCCATAGTTGACAATGGTTCACTGCTGATATTGCAATTCTGTGTTGTGACTATTTTACCAAAAGTGCCCTGGGCCCCTATCACGTTCCCCCAGCTCCCTCCCTCCCTCCTGCAACTCTGCAGGAGTTGTGCTGACAGCATTTTCTGAAAACATCTGCGCCCAGCTTCTCTCCAAAAGGGGAATTTCCCAAGCTACAGTGGAAACCACAATGGAAGGACATGCCCAGGGATTGCCAGAAGATAACAGCTATAATTCTTGGGATGTCCTCTTCCTGATTCTACTGATTCACACAACTGAGTGCTGTTTCATGGAAATATTAGGAAAAATATGTCCCAATAAAAATTTTTGATGAGAAAAAAACAACTGAGTAACGTTATGACCCCCTTTTGAATAAGGAATATGTTGAATGGTAACACTCCTGAAAGATTTTGACTAAAAGTTAGATAAAACTCTAGCGCAAGAGAGAAGATAAAAAGTGAATCAGATCTGGAATGTAATCAGTGAGTTTGAGACAAGCTACACATTTTAGCACATTTATAAAGGTGAGGGATTAGTGGACAACCCCTAAGTTTATGTTTTTTTTGCCAGCCACCACAGAACCTCACCATTACACCCTTTTTTCTATTTCAGAAATTATTGCAAGTCATGTTTACACGCGGGGAAACAGCTGCCACCCACTTCCGATAGCTCCATAGGCAAAAGGTGGGCTGCAGCTTGAAAGCCAGTGATGCTGGTGGGGTCAATCCTTGTAGCTGGTTGAAGTGAGGATCCCTCAGCACCATAAGCCTGTACTGGGCTGAAATAATCCATGGCACTCATTCACGAGGTGAGCACTGTTCACTGCCTGCACTGTGAAGGCCCTGAGGGAAGCCATGGGGACATGCCTCTCCTCCCTCTACTCTATCAAGGCAGGCAAGTGCCTGGTGGCATGCCAAAATGTCTAGAAAGATGATGCACCTGTGTGAGTCCCATCACACTTCCCCTTGTACCCTCTGCATGAAGTAACACAGCCAAGGGTGCAGGAATGTCTCCTCCACTGACACACACAAACACCCCACAAAATCCCCCACCCCAATATCTCATTCAATTTCATTTTCTCCCAGAACTTCTCAGAATATTCTCTGTTTGGTTTTGTTTTCATTGATATAAAATTCAGAGGGAGGAAAGCAAAGTAGAATTTTGATCAGCAACCATCCAGGTGAAGAAAATTATATATATATATATATATAAAATACATATATTTCAAATAACCAAACTATGACTTGTCATTCAAAATGATGCTAAACCTATAAAATACATAATTACTGTCACATGCAACAGTTTTTCTTAACTTTATTTAAATGAAAAATAATATAAAATGCTTGCTTAATTTTTTCTTTCTGATTCACATCTAGTGCTTTAAGAGGATGTCAAAACAAGAGATGAAAGGGAACTTTTCAATCAAATGTTTTTCACCAGAAAATGCAGTTTCATTGAAACCAAAACTCTTCATGGAAATCTATATCTGTAGATGAAACTTTTGTTAGAAAGGTTTTGGGGTTCAGAATAATACTTCTGATTAAAAGGAGAAAAACACAAGCATGCAGATGATCTTATTGTGCAAGACTGGGCATTGCCTGGGTTTGATTCACCTCACCAACCGAGTGAATGAATCACTGCCTTACCAAGTGTTTTCTCTGTTTTCACTCATTTATTTCTATGACAAATTTCAACAACCTTTTGACCATCAACATAACTAAAATTATTGCTGAAAGCTCAAAGAAAATGCAAGCTAGAACTCTGATTTCTAGGTAGCCTGACTAATAGCCAAATGTATGAGTCTTCTTAGGATTTCTGTTCAACTCCTGTTCTGGAAAGCTTTAAGCCTAAGAAAGAGTAACATAAAACACAAAACGGAGAAATTTCCACAGCGTTCATCAGATATAAGTCCCAGGAACAAGTCTTTGTAACCCAAAAAGTCACTAAACGCTTTTGTTCTTCAGTTTTGGAGATGTACAAAACTATCCTTTGTCAACTAGTTACACAGCAGTGATTTATGGGCAGGTAACCCACAGCGAGAGATCTTCAAGGCACTCAAGGATGAGGTATAGCACACTTGTGAGCCAGAAAGAAACCATTGTAGCCAACAAGTTGTTAGCAAGCAAACTCACTGGGGTCTTCCCAAACCCAGGAAGAAGGCACCACTGATGGGGGTCTGGTATTGCATGTCTGTGGCCCTCTTCCACACATAATAAAGCACGGTTGTTTAAGATACCGAAGACCCAAATAAGATTTAAGCCAGTTACTTGTAATTTCATGGTCCAAAAAACTTTTCCAAACTAGGAAACCTGACTTAGTAAATGCTGTGACTAGTGATATGGACCTTGAAGAGCACTGGAGAACAATTGTGAATCTTGTATACACAGTGGTATTTTCAGGAAATTCAGCAGCTTTGTCCATATCAAAACTGCAAGAGCTTTGTTCAGCTGTGGCTGAATTTCTGTTTGCCTTTGCAAGGGAGTTGCATTTTCCCCAGCCAGGATGAGGAAGCTTGACCCAACACGCTTACATTGCCTTACAGTCCTTGCCTTTGGGCAATAAGACAAGCAAAGTGGTGCATCGCTGCAAGCCTCCACTGAGGAAGGGTCTAGTCCAGCAAATTAAGAGTTTAATGCAAGCCAAGCCCTTTATCATTTGCCAGTGGCAGTAGGCAGGTAAGTAGAATAACGTGATCAATGGCTGCAAAGGCTGGTGATAGACTGGGGAGACCTAACATTGACATCTGACACGAGGCTGTTATCCATCACAGCCCTGACGACTGTCTTCTGCTTACAAGGGGGCTGAATTATTGAGCAGACCTAATTCATGGCAAGCTGCCACTCGCGTTTCTGGGAAGGACGAATGTAATAAGAAACAAAGGCTGCGACTAGAATTTTGTATTGTCTCCAAGTCTCTCTCATTGTGCTTCCCTGCTGGGTGAAAAAGGCAAGGGAGAGATTCGGGGGGGAGGAGGTTTTACTGCATGTTGAATGGCTTTGCATGGCAGTGAGAGGTATTCAGAGGCAGATAGACTGTCTGTCTCCAAAGATCCAGCAAAAAAAAAAAAAAAAAAAAAACAACGTTAAGCCAGTGGGAATGCAGCACCTTTGGAAAGGAGAAAGTTCACTTAAAAGTTTGGCAGCATTAAACCCTCTATTAAAGTCTTCTCTTCCCCCAGAAAACCCTCAAAGAGCATAAACTTCTGAGACTGTAACTAAATGTAAAATAATCAGCAAAAGCATGCTCCGGTCACATAGTTTATCTGTGTGTGTGTCAGTTCTAGAAACTGGCACTTGCCTCATCAACAGTCATAGCCCAAC